TTTTTTTTGGCGGTATGTGGGCCTCTCACTGTTGTGGCCTCTCCCGTTGCGGAGCACAGGCTCCGGACGCGCAGGCTCAACGGCCATGGCTCATGGGCCCAGTCGCTCCACGGCATGTGGGATCTTCCTGGACCGGGGCACGAACCCGTGTCCCCTGCATCAGCAGGCGGACTCTCAACCACTGCGCCACCAGGGAAGCCTGGCAGTTTTTAATTTCTTCTTTGTTATTTGATTTTCAACCTTGTTACACTGAGCATTTATTAATTTTTTATTAATTTTTTAAAATATTCTTTTTGAAATGACTTTCGGGGGAGGAAAGCTTATTAATATCCTGGTCTGTCCATTTCTCTTTTTTTATTGAAAGTTTCTCAGGAATCACAAAGAAGATTCTTAACCCAGTGACAACCAAACTCAAAGATGTACAGAGACAGTTAAAAGCACTGCTTCCTCCCAACGCTGTGTTAGTGGGCCACTCCTTAGACTTAGATCTCAGAGCACTGAAAGTGAGTATCTGATTTAGGACTTAGTTTATCTAGCGTATGTGCCTGTTTCATTAATCTCAGATCTAAAGCCTTCTGTCCCCCAACCCACCTGTTTTTTCCTTCAGCATAGGATGCTACTCATTCTATTCTCTTTCCTTCTCAGATGATACATCCATATGTTATTGATACATCATTGCTTTATGTCAGAGAGCAGGGCAGAAGATTTAAGCTCAAGTTCTTAGCCAAAGTTATTTTGGGGTAGGTTTGTTTGCATATTATAATATTGTCCTGATAGACTGCACATAAGTTAGAATATTGTATCTTATTTAATGCATATTGCAACGTTCAGCCTCTCTCCTTTCCTTCTTAGTTTATAAACATTATTATGAATTCTGAGATCCTAACTTCAAAGAGAAGTATGACTCAGAAATGAAAAAACTGTGGGAATACAAAAAGGAGTTGCATTCATAGCTGAAGGTTGATGGGTAGAACTGGACAGAGAAGAGGCAGAAAAGTTACCCAAAATTTCGAAACAACGTTCCTATATTGACTGTATCATGTACAAACACATATTGTACAAAGATATTCATTATAGTATGATTTAAAATAGCCCAAAAGAAAAAAAATTAAAAAAAAATAAAATAGCCCCAAAGAATTCAGATATTCTACAGGACTAGTTAAATAAATTATGGTTATCTCCGTGACTAATACTTTGTTAGATCTTTATGTGCTAATAAGGGGACCTCTAAGATGCTACTAAGAATAAAATGGAGATGCAGAACAAGATGCATAGATACTGAGATATTGATTGATGTAGATTAGATTTAGATATATCTATAGACATAAGCATATGTATTTTTTAAGATTTTAAAAAACAAAGGATTTTTAAATATATAATAGGCACTTGTATATAATAGAAAATTTCTGGAAGGTAACTTTAAAACAACAGCTACGTCTAAAAAATGAGACAAGGGGTTGGTTGGGGAGTGGACCAGAGACTTTTTATTGGGTAGCCTTTGATGATATGCTTGCTGTAAACAAAGCCATTCCTGATCATTCTGTACCCTCAGTACCTCTCAGGTCCTGGCACTAAGTAATAAAGGAATCTTGATTGTTGTGACTCAAATCTAATTACTAGAATGCTGAAATTCTACATGTAGCCAGAATATTTGGGATGAAAGACTCTGTCATTAAAAATGCTCCCAGGTATGTCAATTTTACCTTGACTTTCCAGGAAGGATATACAGTGTCCAGATAGGTTTGGTCATGATGCCACAGAAGATGCTAGAACAACCCTTGAATTGGCTCGGTATTTCCTCAAATATGGCCCAAAGAAGGTTAGTACCTTTGCTTTCCTTAAAATTATGAGACTAGAACAGAGTCACAGACCACCATATCCTGCTGTTACCTTTCTTTACAAAAATGACAGTGTAATTCAAGGTGAACATGTATTTGAAATTAAGACCTGTATCACTAGCATCATGTAGTGGTTAAATATGTAGTCTCTGAAGTTGGACTTCCTTGTTTTTAAATAGGTCTGGCTATATGATATCTAGGGCAATTTCTCTGAGCAACTTTAGTTTCTAGATCTGTAAAATGGTAGCATACTTCTTTGGGATATTGGTGAGGGTAAATGAGATATTATGTAGTATAAAGCTCTTAGCACAATGCCATGAATATATTAAGCACCATAATGTGGTGTTAATCATTGTAGCTGAGGGACTTCCCTGGTGGTCCGGTGGTGAAGACTGTACTTCCACTGCAGGGCGCACGGGTTTGATCCCTGGTTGAGGAACTAAAGATCCCGCATGCCACTTTTAATTCATTGTAGCTGATGCTAATGATTGTGATAATTATAAAAATCTAGATAGATTTTTGCTCTCTTGGGGTGTGAGTAGCATATCATTGTTTCAAAAGCAGTTTAGTGGGCCTGGATTAAAACAGCACATAAAGGAGGCATTGAAGAGGATGTAGTTTCTGACAGACTGTTATAACACATTCTAACCTATTAGATTGTCCCATTGTGTGATATTTTCTAGCATGACCCCATTATGAAATAAGTGGTAGTCCATATAGAATAATAAGAAGCCAGAATAGTATTTTGTGTCATGGTGATAGAAAGACATTGTAAAATATCTTATGCGGCTTGTGAATAATGGCCAACATTCACTGAGATCTTACGAAGTGTACTATTCTAAAATGCTTTATATACATTATCTTATCCTTATAGCAACCCTATAAGTTAACTATTGATATTATTATATATATGATCGTTCAGAGGTTTTGAAAGGTTAATAACTTATTGAGGTCCTACAGTTAGAGGCAGAACCAAGATTCAAACCAGGGTCTGTCAGATTCTAAAGCCTGTCTTTGCTCTACATGAGGAATTAGCAAACCTTTTCTGTAAAGGCCAAACAGTAAATATTTTAGGCTCTACAGACCATACTGTCTCTATCACAGCTACTCAACTTGCTGTTGGTACTGCAAAAGCAGCTATAACACTATGTCAGTAAAAGGACACAGCTGTGTGCCAGTAAAACTTTATTTACAAAAAACTGACATTGGGCTGGACTTGATCCAATGACTGTAATAGGCCAACCCCTGCTCTAAACCACTGCACTGAGGTTCTAAAAACTTGGTCTCAGGACCCATTTATCCTCAAAGAGCTTTTGTTTTTGTGGGTCATATCTTTCAACATTTACCATATTAGAAATTACATATGAGAAAAATTATATTTACTAATTTGTTGAAAATATTTTTAAAAATCATTACATGTTAACAAAAAAAATGTATTTTTATGGAAAAAAGCATTTTCAAAAAAATTAATGGGAAGAGTGTCATTGTTTTACATATTTTGCAAATCTCTTTAATGTCTAGCTACTAAGCTCCTATTAAGGAGACTAGTGACTCTCATATCTGCTTTTACGTCCAATCTGTTGTGTTATATAGTTGGAGAAGACAGGACCTTGTAAACTTCCCCCTGAAAGGGTGTCTGGAACCCCTAGGAGTTCTCAAGCCACACTTTGAGAACAGTTGCATTCTGTTATGCTGCCACTTGATTTCCAGGAAAAATTGCATCTCAACTTGAATAAAATCTCAGGAAATCTGAATTAAGGATGGACTTCAGTTAATAATAAGATACCAGAAAAGAATCTAAAAAAGAGTGGATATATGTATATGTATAACTGATTCGCTTTGCTGTACAGCAGAAACTAACACAACATTGTAAATCAACTATACTCCAATAAAAAATTTTAAAAAGAAAAAAAATAACGTATCAATAGTGGTTCATTAATTGTGTTAAATACACCATACTAATTAAGATAGTAATAATATTTGAAAATGGCAGTTGGATATATGTGGGAACTCTGTACTGTCTTTGTAGTTTTTCTGCAAATCTAAAATGATTCTGAGTAAAAAAAATATCTGTATCTCTACACATCAGAACTCCCAAATGGGCTCCCACTTTATGGAAAGAATAAACTAGAATACTTTTCATGATTTTGTGTTAATCCAATAAAGTCTTTTTTTCATATTGCCATGAAAGCCATTCTTTTATAATTTCCAAAAGTTGCATGTTTGCAGAGAAGTAAATTTTAAGTGACTTTGGATTGAATGATGAGCCAAAATTGCCATTGCTTTTCACTTAGCCCTACTTGGCCCTTTCCCATATTCATGTCACAACATCAGCAGCTGGTAACAGATTGCCATTCTTGGCTAAGCAGCCAGAAACCATCTGGTAACTATTGAACCCAGCCTGGGACTGTGGCAACAGCAAAGTCACTGTCTACAGAAACAGAGCACACCACTTGAGTGGGTTTTTCTTGGATTTTGGGGGGGGTTGGGTGTTTTTTGGTTTGGTTGGTTTCTTTTTTTTTAGCCTCAAATACTTCGCAAGATATTAAATGATTTTACCACTTTATTTTCCTTCAGATTGCAGAACTGAATCTGGAGGCACTGGCTAGTCACCCAGAACTAGAAGCAGCAGGCCTAGAGCTGAGAAATACAGCGGAAGTAGTTCAGCAGCTAAACACAAGGTAATATTTTTCAGTTCTAAATAGTCGCAAAGACAAATGGAGTATCTGGTTTCTTATTTAACAACAAAACCTGGAATATTTTTTTCCTCTTTTGAGTCTATTGAGAAATATTTACCAATAATATGAGTAACATTCTTCCATTAGAAAAACCATGGATGGAAAAATACCACGTACTGCCCTAAATAGCATCTGTTTTTCTAATTTTCTGAATCTATTGATTGGTCTTAAAATAACTCACTTTACAAAAAAAGTAAGACACTGAAATACATTGAACTAAGTGGCATTAGGGGTGATGATAGACTAGTGAGTATTTTGATTAGAAGAGTCGGCTATAGCCTTGATGTATTGCCCAGATTGGGAAAAAGACAAACAAAAAACAGACTCAGAAGAGGTTTGTCTCCGTACCATAGTAAATGTATCAGATCCTTAGAATCTAGCCTAAATTTTGGTAAAGAGTTTTGAGTATATTTTTTGTTTATCCTTCCTCTCCCTAAATGTAGAGCAACAATGTTCAATATGATTTCTGTAATGGTGGAAATGTTCTATATCTGTGCTGTCCAATAAGGTCCATACATGTGGAGCTTATAGTACATGTGACTAGTGCAATTAAGGAACTGAATTTTTATTTTATTTTATTTTATTTTAAATAACCACACGTTGCTAATGGCTACCAGGTTAGACAGTGCAAGTATAGAGAAGTAATTCTTGGGTTAGGGAAAACTGTTGTTCCTACCTTGATCTCTTCTCCTTCTTTACAGTGTTTTAGAATGCTTGGACTCAGTGGGCCAGAAGCTGCTTTTCTTGACTCGGGAGGCAGATGCTACTGAACTTTCTTCTTCCAAAAACTGTCAAACTATTAAGTGCTTTTCAAATAAAGAGGTGAGTGACCCAGTATCTCTTTGAAGGTTGCATTCAGAGTAGACGGTAATGTAACCCTTTGCAACCCATGCAAGTATCAGGCTTTTTTTCATCAGCAACTTTGGCTACCATTAGCCAGTCTGGCTTCTATCTCAAATTTTGTGTGGAGCACTTTTAGTCTCAATTACCCCATAGGAGCAGAACTGGCAGCTGCCAGTGTCTGTTTCCAGATTCCAGCAGGCCTGTGGCTTTGGCCTTGCACACCACTTTGAATTTCTATTCTTTTTTCTGGTTCATGGAGATGTTTATCTTCGTTTTTAGCCTGACTATATCTTTTTGGTTTTCATATATATATAAAAATATATATAAATATAAATATATAAATAAATAAATATATAATATTTTTATTTATATAAATAAATATAAAATATATATATATATTTATTTATATTTTACCTATCCTTTTTTTTATATATTTTACCTATCATTGCTATATGTGTATAGCAGAAGGGATGCATCAAAGCATGGACTTATGGCATCTTGTTCAGAGGCTCTGTAATTTTTTTTAAGCATTTTATTTGGAAATAATTTCAAACTTACAGGAAACTTGCATGAATGGTGGAATATCTGTATACCTTCTATCTAGCTTCATCTCTGTTAATACTCTGCCTCATTTGCTTTATTATTTGTGTGTGTGCTGGGTTGCTTCTGCACTTTTTACACTTTCTTGCTCTCTCTTCCTATGTCTATATGACATTTCATTTTTTAGTTTCCTTTAGTCTGGAACCATTCCTCAATCTTTCTTTGTCTCTCATGACATTGGTAATTTCATTTTGGGTTTCCTCATGATTAGATTCAGGTTATGCCACAAGAGGCATATGTTGCCTGTCTGTCCCTCTCTTCTGTTTATTTTGATGACCTTAACAAGGTGTTGTCTAGTTTCTCCACTGTAGAGTTACTGTTTTTTCCCCTTGCTTTGAATAATATGGGAGGATACACTTTAAGAACAGCAAATATCCTGCTTTACATCAAAATCCCCACCTCCTCTTATCTTTAGCAAAAACTGATGATTCTTACCTGAACCAGTTTTTACTGTGAGCCAGTTTTTATTGTACAATGATGGTTTTCCAACTCTATATATTTCCTCCATATTAACTAGTTGTTACTCAGTATTCTATGAGCAAGAGTCCTCTCTTTACCTTATTTGTTCATTCATTCATTCATTCCACGTGGACTCACGGATTCCTGTTTATTTCAGTGTTTTATAATTTAAAATTGTTTTGGTTTACACATTTCTCAGATTTGGTAAGCAGTAGCCCCTTCAAGCTGGCCCCTCTGTCCTTGTTACATGCACCCATAATTTTTTTTGAGCATTTTCTTCCTACTGGCACAATAAGAAAGTCAGGTTCATCTTGGTATTAGAAACCAAGATCTGGATGCTGGGTGTGCATATTTTTATTGGGTTGTCTTTGCTTCTAGACCCTCAAAGCAGACAGTTAGGAAATATATGCATGTAGGTAGGATATGCGCACACACACACACAAATTTTTATGTACACAGAAATAAATATTTAAGAAATCAAGTGTCTATACCAGTACCTCTAATTTCAGCCCTTGCACAGGATTCTTCGTTGCTTTTCCTCATTTCATCTTTGTATCTCCCTTTATAAGTTACTTGGATTCCTTTTTTCCTCCCCTTCAGATTAGCTCTTATGCATTTAGAATACAGTTGGGTTCGTTTCAATTTGCTTTTAGTTTTAGGGTTTTTTTCTCTCTCCCATCCTTGTTGATTTATTTTTTGGATCTATAGAACATTAACATGCTTCCAAAGGCAAAACTACACAAACAAGTATACTAAAAGAAGTGTCATTCCTTCTCATATCTATTTCACCCAGTCCGCCCTCCACCTATCTCATGTAAGTAAATAACATTGTTGTTTTCTGATTTATCCTTCCTTTGTTCCATTTTTTGTAAAGAAAAGTAGATATATATATACGCTTTTTTATTTCGTTTTCTTTCTTATACAGAAGATAACATACTATATAAATAAACTCTTTTGCAGTTGGCTTTTTTCCCTTAACAAGATGTCCTGGAAATCATACCAGGACATAACGTTCCAGCTTCCCGTTTTTGCATATGGATATCCAGTCTTCCCAGTCTCAGTTTTTTGAAGAAACTATCCATTTCACATTGAATGTTCTTGGCACCCTTGTCAAAGATCACTTGACCATATATACAGAGCTTTATTTCTGAACTCTCTTTTGTTCCATTAGTCTATTTGTCTGTCTTTATGCCAGTACCACACTGTTTTGATTACTGTAATTTTTAATATGTTTTGAAATCAAGAAGTTTGTGTCATCTGAGTTCATTCTTTTTCAGGATTATTTTGGCTATTCAGAGTCCTTTGAGATTCCTTATGAATTTTAGGATGATTTTCTTCTTTTTCTGCAAAAAATGACATTAGGATTTTAATAGGGATTGAATTGAATCCATAGGTTGCTTTGTATACTGTTGACAACAATAGTGTGTTCCAGTCCCTGAACATGGAATGTTTCCTTTTATTTGTGTCTTTTAAAATTTCTTTCAGCATTGTTTTGTAGGGTTTTTTTTTGTTTTTTGTTTTTTGTGGTACGCGGGCCTCTCACTGTTGTGGCCTCTCCCGTTGCAGAGCACAGGCTGCGGATGCGCAGTCTCAGTGGCCATGGCTCACGGGCCCAGCCGCTCCGTGGCACGTGGGATCTTCCCGGACTGGGGCACGAACTCGTGTCCCCTGCATCGGCAGGTGGACTCTCAACCACTGTGCCACCAAGGAAGCCCTGTTTTGTAGTTTTTAGCATAGAAATGTTTCACCTCCTTGGTTTGGTTTATTCCTAAGTATTCTTTTTCTTTTGTGATGCTATTGTACATGAGATTTTTTTCTTAATTTCCTTTTTTGATTGTTCATTGTTAGTATGTAGAAACACAGCTGATTTTTTGTGTTGATTTTGAATCTTTCAAATTTGCTGAACTCATTGTTTAGTCCTGACATTGCTTTTGTAGAATTGTTAGGGTTTTCTACATGTCCTATGTGAACAGAGAGAGCTCTTCCAATTTGGACGGCTTTTGTTTCCTTTTCTTACCTAATTACTCTGGTTAGAACTCTCAATACTGTGTTGAATAGAGTGGCAAGAGCAGACATCCTTGTTCCTGATCTTAGAGAAAGTTTTCAGTCTTTCACCTTTGAGTGTGATGTTAGCTGTGGGCTTTTCATATATGGCCTTTATTATGTTGGGGTAGTTTCCTTCTATTTCTAGTTTGTTGAGTGTTTTTATCTCGAAAGAGTTTGAATCTTGTCAAATGCTTTTTCTGCATCAGTTGATTGATCATGTGGTTTTGTCTTTCATTCTGTTAATGTGGTATATTACATGGAATTGTTTTCATACATTGAACCATCCTTGCATTCCAGGAATAAATCTCACTTGGTCCTGGTGTATAATACTTTTAATGTGCTGTTGAATTCAGTTTGCTGACATTTTGCTATTTAAAGTAATCACTAGATTGGAAGAACTATTTCCATTTTGTTGTTTTCTGTATGTCTTACAGCTTTTTGTCCCTCCTCTCCTTTCTACTGTCTTCCTTTGAGTTTTGATTTTTTTTTTTTTGGTAGAGATGTGCTTTGATACCCTTCTCATTTCCTTTTGTATATGTTCTATAGATGTTTTCTTTGCAGTTATCATTGCAGTTACATAAAACATCTTAAAATTATAACATTCCATTTTAAACGGATAGCAGTTTAATTGCATACAAAAACTGTCCTCCTATAAGATCCACCCCCTCAACTTTGTTACTGATATCACAGATTGCATCTTTATATGTTATATGCCCATTAACATAGGCATATAGTTATTTTTTTCATGTTTTTGTCACTTAAGTTCTGAATAAGAATTAAAAGTGAATTTATGCACCCAAGTTACATTAATACAGGTTATTATATGTGTCCATGTATTACCTTAACTAGAAAACTTTTTCATGTTGTTGTCTAGTATCCTTTCATCTTAAAGGACTCCCTTTAGCATTTCTTATAAGAGCAGGCCTAGTGATAATAAACTTTCTCAACTTTTTTTTTCGCCTGCATTTTTGAAGCATAGTTTTTCTGGATACAGTTTTCTTGGTTGATGGTTGTTTTTTGTTTTTGTTTTCTTTTTTTGGTTGATGGTTTTTTTTGTTTTTTTGTTTTTTGTTTTTTTGCAGTACGCGGGCCTCTCACTGTTGTGGCCTGTCCCGTTGTGGAGCACAGGCTCCGGACGCACAGGCTCAGCAACCATGGCTCACGGGCCCAGCTGCTCAGCGGCATGTGGGATCTTCCCGGACCGGGGCACGAACCCGTGTCCCCTGCATCAGCAGGCGGACTCTCAACCACTGTACCACCAGGGAAGCCCAGTTGATGGTTTTTTTATTTTATCACTTTGAATATATCATGCCACTCTCTGCTGGCCTGCAAGGTTTCTGTTAAGAAATCCACTGATAATCTTATGAAAGCTTCCTTGTATGTGATGATTTGCTTTTCTCTTGCTGCTTCCAAGATTCTCTGATTTTGACTTTTAACAATTTGATTGTAATGTGTCTCTGTGTGGGTGTCTTTGGATTTATCTTTCTTGGAGTTCTTTCAGCTTATTGAATTTGTATGTTCATTTCTTTCCTCAGATATGGAGGGTTTTCAGCCATTATTTCTTCAAATAAGCTCTCTGCTCCTTTCTCTCTTCTTCTGGGACTCCTATAATTTGTAAATTGGTCCTAAAGATGGTGTCTCAAAGGCTCCTAGACTCTGTTTCCTTTTCCTCTTCTTTTTTTTTTTTTGCTTTAACTTAATGACTTCAAAGATCTGTTTTCAAGTTTGCCTGATCAAGTCTGATGTTGAACCCCTTTAGTGAATTTTCCAACTCACTTAATGTATTTTTCAGCTGCAGAATTTGTTTGGTTATTTTTTCTTTGTTTTTGAATTTTATTTTATTTTTTTATACAGCAGGTTCTTATATAAGTTAC